GGGATCAATGACCGGAAATCTAGTCGCCTGTAAGTAAACCAATCCATAAATCCAAACGAGAGATATTGAGAAGAGTATTAAAAATGTCTGTAAATTGTAAATATAATTACGATTAATAAATATTACAAAATTACTATATAAAACTAAATGCATTTTTACCCAAACGGGTTGTAGTAATAGGAAAGGCATATCACTTATTGCTTTTCCAGCCTCTCTGAACAGAATTGCCACCTATTCATGAATATTAATATATAGCACATCAGAATCTAAATACTTTTTTGTTGTATTCAAATTGTGCATAGTATATATTGTGCACTTTACATGTATGTATTGTTTATTTAATAACTTACCAGTTTTATCCTCTTTCTCATTACAGTCACAATAAAAATAAATACAACCTAAATAAATATATATATTTATAAATTATCTGTAACTTAAATTTGTTTAAATAACATGATATACAGTGAGAACTGATGCTGCGATTCCGGCCACAAACCATTGGTCAACCAAATGTTTCTGAAATTCTCGCTGTTTTTCATCAAACTTAAGCGTTAAGAGTTGGCTCTTATAATAGTTCCAAATCAACCTTCAATTAGTTATACAAGATTTCAATATGTTTTGTGCTATATTTTAGGCGACAGGACATACCAGACATAAGCAGATCCACTGATTGCAGTTAAGCTCAATGCAAAAAGTGTGACCCAAATGACAATATTCGCTAAATATCTCAATAATACCAAAATTATTAACGAAAATACAAATGAAACGTTCGTTTGATAAAAGTCATAAGTGTCTATGTAATAATGATAGCTACACATCTCCTCTATAATTTAAACATATAATTTTACCTTTGAAATTTCTGATTATTTTTTAATAAAATTTAAAACCAATGCATTTATGGTCAAAATTAAATTTTGACTTTTTTCAATAATATTTTTAAACTTACAGTGTAGTGCAGTGAATGTAAGAGAAATTATTTTTTAGAAAAGGATCATTTAAAAAATGACAACATTATATTTGGCCAATAGGTGCCTTGGTTATACCCTTTATTAGAAAAAAGTACAGCTCATAGAAACAAAATAATTAATTGAGAATATAGAGGAGATGTGTAGCTATTATTATTATATAGACAGTTATGACTTTTATCAAACGAGAAAAAAGTTTTCCTATTTCAATAACTTTTTTGAACAATTTATTTTTTATCAAACGAGAAAAAAGTTTTCCTATTTCAATAACTTTTTTGAACAATTTTTTTGTCAGTTTTTTCAAAATAAACACTTTAAATATTAATCAATCCTGATAAATTTTTGGTGAGATGTGGACATGGGCTAGTGCTATTATTATCTGAAGACAGATTCAAATTATCTTGATTAGTTTTTGAGTTATGGCCGAAATGAACATTAATTTCTGAACAACCTATATAATTTTTGTGCAAATAAAATGTGTTAAAGAGATAAAATCGGCAAGAAAACAGGTGTCTAATAGTGTTTTTTAGCCAATATATTACATGATGGTTACATGGTTCGTGTAAGCGTAGTTTATAAAGTATTCTAAGTTTTAATTACAATCATGATTTTTATATATGTTTAACTCAACAAATGACACAAAATATAAAACTAGAATAAAATTATCTTAACAAAAAATTGGTGTATTCATAAATTGAGAAATAATAAGTTTTGTTGCTATATATTATTGAAACATAACTTACGACTTAACCAAATAGATTTATTAAAATAGATGTACAATTAAATTTATTTTTATGTGTAAATTAATAGGACGTAATAGAATAATAGATTCCAGTCAACATAATCTGTCCGCGCGGTTTTGGTGATTACAGCTAAACTAGAAGAGCTAGATCAAATTAGCAAAAAGTAAAATGAAGGTTCACATGTCTAGTTTTTTGTATCCAAAATTTATTTAAATCACGTGACTACAACACAGAAATTTTTGGGTCAAATCGATTTGCCATGTTTTTTGCCCATCTCGTCCCCCCGATCCTTCTCCCGCGCATACGATTAGAAATCTCCTCTACAGTTTCTGATATTATCGGTTCAAATTAAATCTAGGTAAGTCGGTAGATGCTCTTTAACAATTAAAATAATTGTAATCCAGAATGGGAAAAATTGTTCTGAAGTCGACTTTTTATAACTACAAAAATGTAGTATAAAAAAGTCAAAATTGGGCTATTTTTGTTCAAATATATACGGTTTAAAGAACTTATAAGATAAGCGATGCTTTCTTATAAGTAAACTTAAAATACTTTGAAACGATATTATCAGAAACTGTAGAGGAGATTTTTAATCGCATGGGCGGGATAAGGATCGGGGGCTCGAGGTGGGCAAAAAACATGGCAAATCGATTTGACCCAAAAATTTCTATGTTCTCGTCACGTGATTTCAATAATTTTTTGATACAAAAAACTAGACATGTGGATCTTCATTTTACTTTTTACTAATTTGATCTAGCTCTTCTAGTTTAGCTGTAATCACAAAAACCGCGCGGACAGATTATGTTGACTGGTTAAATATTTAAATTAAATAAAAATTAAACTAAAACTAAAACTATGAAATTAATAGTAATATATGATTAAAATTCATGATAATGTAAAAATGAAGACTATAAATTAATTACAATAATACTGTCATTTACATAAAGGTGTAGTACAAATAAATGTTACTTGTTTCACATCTGAATTTCTATAATAAACTGTAGGTCAGCGATGTGCTCTGGGACAAAAATTCGGTAAAGCTGTCTTATCATTAATGTACTTGATTGCATTCTGTTCAGATATCATAATATGATTACAGTTTTAACACTTTAACACAATATAAAGTCTTTATATAATATTATTATAAAGTCAAGATAACACAAAAGCTTGTTAAAACTAATTAAAACTTGTCCTAACGTGAGCATAGTTAATTTAGTCGACTTTTATTAATAATAAATTATTCTGTTTAAAGTTATTAAATTTTAATGGTTAGTATATTAAATAACAATTTTACATGAAACTGTTTAATTAAAATCACACTTTTAATTATAATTTAATACATTTTAATTAATATTTAATTTAAGTTAAGAACTAAAAAGGAAATATTTTATAGTTTAAGTGGCGTAGACCATTTTAATTGATATGGACATGTTCAGTACGGTTCACAGATTAATTTACTGTTGAGATAATCGGCGAATGGCTAGAAATGACCGAATTATGTACAAAATTCGAAATTTATACATAGAATTCAATTGAATTCAGGCAAAGTTAAAGGTATGATGAATGATGAAAAGTTGTAATAAATGGTGAATCACACATATCACAGGTCTTTCACCACAAGTCTATGCATTAGATGCTATGTATTTATTTCGAATTTTGTCCATAATTCGGTCANATTTCGAATTTTGTCCATAATTCGGTCATTTCTGGCCATTCGCCGATTATCTCAACAGTAAATTAATCTGTGAACCGTACTGAACATGTCCATACCAATTAAAATGGTCTACGCCACTTGAACTGTAAAATATTTTCTTTTAAGTTAAAAATAATGTGAGCTTGCTCAAAATAAATATACAAATAATTAAAAGCATTTATTTGGTATAAATATCGATACATACAATAATATAAGTTAGACTAGATTTAAAATGTATATTTTAATATTAAGTTATTGTAAAAAAATTCTACAATTGTTGGTGCGATTGACAAATGTCTTAAAAACAATTCAAATAAATGGAAATCTATTAATGATCTCATAATTTGCTTTAAAATATAAAATCATTAATTATTAATTAAAATTGAAATTAAAAATTTATACAAATTTATAAAAACATTATAAAGAGTATTAAATTTAATTCTCATTCTTATGATAATTGGATTCAATAAAACCCATGAGACTATTGCTCATAAAGTATGGTTTTCTTAAGCCATCGTTTTGCTGACAATCCTCTATAAAGCAGAGGAATAACGTGTCGATTGCCATCTAATAACGAGATATTAATTCATGATTATTGTAATAATTGGTGAATAATTTTGATATAAAATTAATTGATTACTTCATAAACGGATAGAAAACAATGGGAAACGAAATAAGCGAAGAGAGCGGAAGCGATGATTGGAGACCAATAGTAGTGAAGTGAATGACTCTTCTCTTCAATCAATTCAATGCCAATGAAGGCAACGGCTGTTACGACACATATTTTGGCCACAAATAGAAGAAAATCTCCGACAGAATTGAGGGCCAGAACTCTGAGAGCGTTACTCGTTATCAAAGTAAATGCTTTTTGTGCGCTCACACAAAATGAAGTGCCATATATTGCTATCAATCATCACATTTACAACACTTTCAATGACATTCATTTCAAGACAAAAATAGTTTTCAAAAAACAAACCGATTTCTATGAATGCATTTTGATTGACGTAAACGATAAACTTTTCCAAAATCCATAGACAACATCGACAACACTTGAACGGACGGTCAAAGCTATCCTTATAGCGATTCAATCTATTTATTATAACATAAGTTGACAACAAATTACTACACTTCAGCTTAAGATAACACATTAATATTATTAAAGTGTTGATTAGAAAGTATTTGTCCATGCTTAATTTCTAATTACCATTTGGAGATTAATTTAAATGGAAATTACTTTAGCATGTTCCTACTTTTCTACTTCATAGTATTTTAGTAAAGCTTTATATAAACTACAGTATAATTGCTTATGGTATTTTAGTATATAAAATATACTGTAGTATAAGATTGCTTATAGGTTATGGTATTTTATTTAATGTTAAAATATTACATAACACTTACAGCGCGTCTAATCTTTTGACTATAAAACGAATTGCTTTGACGGAAGCGATCAAAAGAGAGCCAAAAAGGATGGATCCGATGTGATAGCGGATTAATATAGCAATTGTGTGCAGTAGAGGACAGTCTAACGACTGTTTAGATCTGTTATCATTGTATTAATGTCTTAAGAAATTGTCATAAAAAGTGATATACAGTATTGTATTGTAAATACCTTTTAAAGAACCAAAGGGCGACTGAACCAGAGATTATGAAATGTTGACACGAGAGGATGAAATGAACTGACCATAAATACCCAAACATGTGATACCACTTCATGTACTATTAAATCATAATTAAGTTATTTATTTCAAATTTTTACACAATTTCAATTACTTTATAAAAGGGCTCTGAATTATACGAAACAAAACCAGTGATGGGATCAATGACCGGAAATCTAGTCGCCTGTAAGTAAACCAATCCATAAATCCAAACGAGAGATATTGAGAAGAGTATTAAAAATGTCTGTAAATTGTAAATATAATTACGATTAATAAATATTACATAATTACTATAATATATAAAACTAAATGAATTCTTACCCAAACGGGTTGTAGTAATAGGAAAGGCATATCACTTATTGCTTTTCCAGCCTCTCTGAACAGAATTGCCACCTATTCATGAATATTAATATATAGCATCAGAATCTAAATATATTTTTGTTGTATTCAAATTTTGCACAGTATATAAAGCACACTTTACATGTATGTATTGTTCATTTAATAACTTACCAGTTTTATCCTCTTTCTCATTACAGTGACAATAAAAATAAATACAACCTAAATAAATAAATATATATATTTATAAATTAACTGTAACTTAAATTTGTTTAAATAACATGATATACAGTGAGAACTGATGCTGCGATTCCGGCCACAAACCATTGGTCAACCAAATGTTGCTGAAATTCTCGCTGTTTTTCATCAAACTTAAGCGTTAAGAGTTGGCTCTTATAATAGTTCCAAATCAACCTTCAATTAGTTATACAATATTTCAATATGTTTTGCGCTATATTTTGGGCGACAGACATACCAGACATAAGCAGATCCACTGATTGCAGTTAAGCTCAATGCAAAAAGTGTGACCCAAATGACAATATTCGCTAAATATCTCAATAATACCAAAATTATTAACGAAAATACAAATGAAACGCTACACAAGTAAGTGATTTCTTTCCAACAGAGTGTTAAATCAGATAAGATATCCTCAAAGAAAGTACGGGTCGTGTTATAGGCGTCTATAAGAAGAGGCAGTCGAGAGTCATGGGGTAGACATCGATAGAGTGTTATTTCACTATAGAAAGTGTATGGAAATTATAGGAGATTCTAGTTGTGCCTTATTTTACAAGCTTTATATCTTACAAGAATCCGTCTTTCGGGCACTCATTAACACATTTGGTTTTGATGGAAGAGTTTTGAATCGATTCAATGAGTAAATACGGAAAATTAGTTTTGTTTTGTCCAGAATTGGTAACGTTTGGCAGTGGTTTGTTTGGTTGGCCGCAAATGTTTCCATAGTTATCGTACCCATGAATTACAAGATTGGGATTTGAGTGCTTCACGAATATTACATCAATTATTATGTATGACTAAAATATTCACGTTTTTAGTATACATTAGTCCACATTAATTGATTAATTTTGAAGTTCATTAACTCACCAAAAATGACAAAAATGCGATAAACAGTATTAGGAAACCACTGTCTCTGCACTCTCTCTTCTGGACCGGAAGTTCAAGCACTCGATCATCAAAATTAATGTCCGGTTGTATGGCCTCCACTGTAAATACCTTTTACAGACAATAATACCGATAATTGTTTATAATTTAAATGAAATAACTAATATAATTGTCATTTAGTATGTTTTTGTGGAAACCATGCTAATTTAAAACTTTAAAACGGTACTGATTCCAAAAAGCCCAAATATTACTTATAGCAGTTTTAGTAAATAATTATCGTATTTTAGTCATGTTACTACTGCCATTTGTATTAAATATTTTCACTAAAACATGATAACTTATATTCTTACTATTTTTACTATTCTTACTATTGTAAATTTATTACTAATGCTGTAATAAGTTATTTTTAGAAAAGTAGCGGATGGAGATTTAAAATTGAACATATTATTGGCATCATTTCTAAATGAAACACATAAAAAATACAAAAAATATTGTACATATAAAAAATTCTGAAATATGTAAACTCTGGATTTTATCAGGTTTATTTGTAAATTTATAAATATGCTGCAAATATTATCATGAATGTATGTATAAATAGATACTTATTATATAACTTATGTTTACATATTTTTAATAAAGAATGTCAACCCTTTGGGTTTTGCCAAAATATGCTAATTTAGTGCAAAGAACTACTGTATAATAATTTAGCGAATTATAAACCATTATTCAAATTCTGGTTGAATTTGAAAATTCTCGAAAGTATAGTTCAGTACAACACAAAGCTTTTAGTTTATAAATACGTGTAAATACTTTAATTATAGGCTCTGCATAATCACAATTGAAAGCAGTTATGGCGTTAATTCAATGTCATTTATAATATGCAATGAAAGTGGTTTTTATTCATTTTTGCCATCCAAGTCAATGACCATATTTATAGTTTCACTGACTATACTCTCATTAAGTGCGAGTGAGTGTCACTTACTTTAGTTGTGTTGTGTTTCATGACTGAACAGTTAGAGACAACCACAGGGTATCACCGCTTCTCTCATCGATATAACCAACACATCTCCTATAAGAGGAAGTCTTTTACAAAGAACTTATCAATCAATAAATTCTTAATTAGAAATAAGTTAAACAAATAAATAATATAGTAATTCATACAACAATTCAAACATAAATGATATAATACTGTAATAGAGTTTTGATAAATCTTTCAGTAAAAAGCTTTTGTTGTGTTTTTATATTAATTATTAAATTATTTCCTATTTATATATAAAATCTTTTTTAAATAACAGGAAATTGTAATTATTTTTACAAATATTTATAATTTATAAATAATTGTTGTAAATCGTATTTAAATCTTTTTTATGTAAAACATACTATTAATTAATTTTGATATACAGAATCTATGCTAACAATACTTAATGATTTTTATAACATAATTAAAAAGTACAATTAAAAACAATTAATTGTTAATAAAAATCTTTAACCATTTATTTGGTTCCTTAGAACTTAGGATTAGATGATATAACACAAAAGGTTACCATGTTATAAATTAACATTTGCCATTTTAGTGTACAAATTTTATAATCTAACAGATTAATTCTTATAACAAATAATCTGATATATAAATTAATTGGAGATTTACATTTAATAATTTCACTCTTATAATTAATAAACTAATCGTATTTGCGAGAAGACATTGAGATCACGTTTGAAAATATGGTTATCAAATACGATTGAGTCAAATATTAATAAAATTGTTGATCAACGCAAACAATATCAGAAGTTTCATTTAAATGTGATTTAATAATTAAATTTCTATGATTTAGATGATTTTTGTAGATAGACTGAAATCCAACCACTTATTAAAAATGGGTGAGAAACTATTAGGTTGACCTACACGCGGTGTTTCTTGTTTAAACTAACAAACCTAAATCTTTTTGACGACTTTTGCGCCACCTTTTTATGGCAAACTGTGAATCTGCATCTGTGATATTCTAAAAAAGGTTGGCTATCAATATTATAAATTAACATTTGCCATTTTAGTGTACAAATTTTATAATCTAACAGATTAATTCTTATAACAAATAATCTGATATATAAATTAATTGGAGATTTACATTTAATAATTTCACTCTTATAATTAAAAATTGTAACATGCAGCATTTTATAAATAATTATCAAATAAATAAATTAACATATTATCTTAATCTTCTTTTTAACACAGTCTATAACTTATATAAATAAATATAAATGTACATTTTAAAAGTTATTCAAAAATATAAATAAAAAGTTGTAAAACTTTTTAAACACTTACCACTTATGCAGTGCTGAGTACAGGAAATTTGAATATATTTGATTTGCAATGAATTAAGACTGTGTCAGCAAAACTGAATTTATTCCCAACTTTTATGTAATAAAAGCAAATAATTCATCAAAGCTTTTGACCAAACATTGGTCGACAGCTTTCTATGGATACGCATGTCTTTACTTTTCGTACAATAATAGTAACTTTAATTCAGGTGTTTTGTAGTCTATATTCAAATAATTGTTTGCATTTAATATTTTTAAGTAATAATTTTGTATAAATTAAATGATTGAATTGCAACTGTTAAAAATATTTAATTGTTTTAAATATTATTATAAAAGATATTAAACACGTCTTACACTAACAAACAGATAATTTATTTATCCTATAAATTCATCATAGTACATTATTTATATTTATAAGATCAATATCTAATATCAATCTTATCAATATCTATTAATAATTAACTCAATTTATAACTTGATTAATTAAAAAGTAGATAAGAATTTTATAATTCACTTAAAAATAAAATGGTAAATTTGGAATATTCTGCATTTCCGTATAATTTATTAAATTTCCTAACATTGCTTTTATAACTATATTGTTATTTATATTTTTACAACTAGTTATTTGTATACTATATGTATAGAATATATTGTTAATAATAGCAGACATTGTGTTGATATATTGAAATATAGCGTCAATTAATTATACACTCAATATATTGTGTATAAAATAAGATAAAATTCATACAAAAATCCAAATTAAAGCTTCAATTTTCAAACACATAATAGAGTTTTTGTTGTCTGAAGTGTTATTCACTCAAACATTTTATTGACAACAAAAATGTGATACAATTTCTCTATTCATTCATTTATTCCTGTATTTCTATATATGTTTGACAAAAGCAAAACTTGTCATCAATAAGAATATTCTTTTGCAAAGCATTTCCAATTCATATTCATTTTTCCGGAATTAATATTTAAAATAAAATAAACATATTTTTAAGATCACAAATAAAAGACTAACAACTAGTGTGTAATGCAATAAAAGAAAATAATATTATTATAGCTATTATTATGGGATTAATAATTGATTAAAAGTAATTTTGAAATTGGTTTCGCACGCAATCACCGGTAGTTATGTTCGCACAGAATAGCAGTTCATTGACCTTAACTTTGTTCACATCAATAATAGTTAACCTTTTGTTTAATACAATATTGCATTCATTTCACGTATTTTACTATTTGAAGACAAACTATTTTCCGATTCTTTAATCTCTCTCTCTCTCTCTCTCTCTCTCTCTCTCTCTCTCTCTCTCATTCTTTGAATTGTTTGATATAAATTATTGATTAAGATCATATATTGACAATTAATATTTTAAGTCAAGAATCGAGTTCCTTGTTTTTAATAATGATTAGTACAACACAATTGTGGATATATTTGCGATAAATTAATGTCTCAAAATATAGTTTTTATAAATTTTGCTAATTTTGAAATATGTGATCATGAAATCACAACATACTTTTAATATTGCCATCATAAATGTGTTAACTCGTATCATAATTAAAATAATTTCATGTTTAATTCCAACATTTATTATATTTTCTATCTAAACATGCTAAATTCTTTGTTATTTTCAATAAAAACGGAGTTTTCGGACAAATCCGGTATAAAATGGTCTTTTCGGGAGTTTTGCAAAATATGACAAAATCGGGAAAATTCGGGAAAATAAAAATGATATATTTTCGAACTTTTATAACCCTCGAGACTAATGGAATGTTATTCTCGATTATGCAAGTAACTAAATTTAATCCCGAAATTCCCGAAAAATAGAGATTTTACTGATAATTAAAATTGAATCTGTATTTGTAACCACAATTCAGCATTGAATAATGTGGTTTATAGGATCGTTCGGCTACCCCTCCCCCTCCCGGCCTCTCACCCTATGGGATTTAACATGGGATCACAGCTTAAATCTATGATATAAGATTAACATTAAAAAGCTTTCATAGAATTAACATGAGGACACTATAACATGGGTTTCTATGGGATTACAGCTTAAGTCCCATAGGGATAAGATGGGTAATGCTAAGTCTATGGGTAATGCTAATCATATGGGCAATGTTAATTCTATGGGACTGATGCTAATCTATTCTTTGAGCATCACCCGAATTGTGGTTAACGTATAGCATCGCTGTGTGAGTTGTTTAAATAGCAAGGTTTTAAAATATTATATTTTTACTTCTTTAATATGAGTATAGTCTGATTATTCACATTTATAGGAAAAATCCTGATACATGTCTCAAATTAAATTATGTACAATTTGATATATGTATAGATTGGTCCAGTACTTTTTGAGTTATAACTACTACTCTTTGTCCATAGGAAATATCAATACATTAATGCAGTTTGCAAGTTTTTCTTTTAATTATTTTTATGATTTTCATATCAAGTGTTATGAAATACAATGAATGAGTTTTAACATTAGACTCACGGCTAAGAATGATTGAAAAGAATAAGTCATAAGAATTAGAAACAATTATTTCAAATAAATTGTTAGCTTTATTGTAAAGAATTGTATTTAAAAATGAAAATCTTATATTAATTTGCATTTTATTT